AATTAGACAATGTAAAATTAATTAAATAATAGTCAAAATGGGTAATTGCTTGTTGTTACATTTTTGTTGCGTGCCATATATCGTACTCGGGAGTCTATTTTCATATATGCTTTGTTAGCGGACATTTGTTAGTCATTCGTGCACGTAACAAAGTGCTTGGAAAGCTGTCAAACGAGGCTGCCCGCAAGCGTCATCCTTGGGACCGCTGTTGTGGAACGTGTTTCAAAATGATTTATTCTACACTGGCGTTAAATCTCAGTTGTCTGCCTATGCCGATGACCATGAGATTTACTCCTCCAACTTGAATCTGCACACAGCTATAGACAGAATTAAAAAAGATCGGGAAGAGACATCGAGGTGGTATATAACAAATTTTCTGCAAGGCAATTATAACAAATACCAAGCAATGGCTATAGCAAGGGACACCGAACAAATGGAGTTAGTGATTGATGATTGCAGAATCAACTTTACCGATGCATTCAAACTGCTAGGCGTAATTATTGATAAAGACTTGAATTTCTCGCAGCATATATCAGAGGTCTGCATAAAGACCAGTAAAATGATTGGTGTTCTACAAAGGCTAAAGAATCTAATCCCGATGAACGCAAAACTACGAATATATAAAACTGCAGTTCTACCCCATCTTCACATACTGTAGCTTGGTGTGGCACTTATGTCGTGCAATTCACAGAAACAAACTAGAGAGAATTAATGAAAGAGGTCTACGTACAGTCTTCAAGGATCGAGTCTCTCCTTATAGTGACCTTCTTACACACGCTGGAATGACTAGTCTATATAACATGAGATTACAAGATATCGCTATCTTTATTTTCAAAATCTGGAATAGATTACTGCCTTACAATGTACTAGAACTCTTCTCGCCATCGCCTTCGAACCTGAGGAACTCGGACTTTCATGTTCAAATACAGAAAGCATTCCCTCAGATATTTTGGGCCATTTTTATGGTCAAAATTGAGCATGAAGGACAGAAACGAGACCTCCTTAAGAAGGTTTAAAGAAAATATAAGGAAAAAAGATCTGAGCGAATTGGTTAGTGAAAACGCATGCAAAAGGTGCCACCTGTGTAGCTCATAATTCATGAACAGAAAATATTATAACTAGTACAGTTGACATGAAAATTGCATACATAGTTTTTATTGCATATGTGTATTTTTAAGTATATTGACTATTGTATATATTTGAAGAAGTTTCGAATAGTTAAATCTTATTATCTTATAGTATTATTAATATATATCTATCATTAATAAGTAATTTAAGTAGTGTTCCCGATTAGTAGGCCTGAGGGCAAGCTTGAAGATTAGACATTTAAACAAAGCTGTTGTTGTTGTTTTTGTGTTGTTGTTGAATCCAAACCAGTCCATTATGTTTCTTTAGCTGATAGTTCTATCGTATTATTTTCAAGACTTTTGAAATTCCCATCACGAAGGGAACAGAACAGCTTTACGTGCTTGTTAAGTTACCCGGGGACTTTCGAGAAACGAGCCCTACAGAAAATAGATCATGTCCAATTCTATAAATTTCCGCCAAAAGAAACTGCTGCTACATAACTTCCTATTTAGATAGAACATAACCGTTTGAGCATCCGTCCCTCGCCTTTACCAACGAAAGCATTAAAAATTTTGGTGATGCACACTGGACGGCTACAAGATACTCAAAGTTCTAAAACACACATGCTGAGCTATTGTTTTCTTTATTCATTCTCTTTTGATTTACCATATTTTCGTTGCTGTCGCCGTAATAGTTTGCTTAAGATCCTCTCTTGCACGTGCAAACATAACTTCAACATGAAGGTGGCCCACAATTTTGATTTTGATAAATAGGAAAACTCCAAACTCAAACCAAGTGCAAAGCGTCCATAGCGTGACGTATGATGACCCTTGTGACCTGTGTCCCAAACTGCGAGCACTTTATGTCAATTTTTACATGATAAAGACTGGGCTGAGAGGCTAAAAGACGCCAGTGACAGGGGCACAGATTTAGAAAGCAACCACTTTTTTATTCACTCTTGGTTTGAATTTCCAAGGTAAGCACCATTAAGATATCGAAATTCACTTTGTAATCAATTTTACCATTCAGGCCCCGGTTGTTCGAAGGTTAAGTGACACTATCCACTGAATAAATCTTTAACTTCAAGATAGCGTAGTACGTTTTGCTAACATTTACTTGCTGTATAGCAGTTTATCCTTTGGATAGTGTTGCCCGCCCTTTACACAACTGGACCCAGTATATTTAGCAATTATGAATAACAACTCACCGTTTTTGTACGATTGCAGTCGATCTGAAAGTGGGCCATTGTAGTTCATGCGACTAATAATTTCACAGCAGCCTCTAAATTTATCAAGCGCGAAGGCATTCAAGACCTAAGACTTCCCTGAAATTACTTTTAAACCTTGTTGATGAGTGTAACGATCAAAATTGATCTTATAAAGGAAAACTGATGGCATCGTTTAATTTCTGAGTTATACTCCGTGCATTCGACGTTTTAATAATATTGAGATCTGTCAGTATTCATTACCAAGCAACTCCTAGATATCATCCTTTAAATTCCTCAGTAGTCGGTAAATATCAATGTTATTAACTGAGGCTGTGATTCATTAACGTCCAGTATGTTTCTATCCAATGGAAATGAGATATCTGCAAGTTTTGCTTGTATGGAAACTAGCGACAGGAACTCAGTTGTACTATCATGGATTGTAAATAAAGTAAAAGCATATTCAGTTATTGTCGCGGATGGATGAAGCAGCGCGTCAAATCATTCCTCAATTACAGCAGACGCTCTTTCCATACATTTATTAGATGCAAATCTGAGCACCAAAAAGCAAGTCGTTTTCACTACTCTTTAACTTCTGAAACGAACTCTGAGCAATGGCATGTTCTGTGATGTAATCCTGTTTGTTGTTTCACGATATCCAAACAAGACTCATTTCAAAACAATCAACTGCCTCTTGAAACTGCATGTCGTATGACGGTCTCCTAAAAGACATGTTAAAAATAGTTACACAATTCAGCCTCATTGTCTCGTTCTCGTTGCAACTCGCAACTCATTTCGTAGCTAACGGGATGGTTATTGTGTAGGTAATTATAATGGCCACTGACAGCTGGATGGATATGTGATAGAACAAAAGAAACAAAGATGGGAATCATTACGATTTGATATGACTTAAAACACCCAAATGCCCTGAAACAATTAAGTCCAGTGTTTACTGAAAGACACTGGAAAAGGGCAGATTTGAAAAATGGTGGCCCTTTTCAGCATGCCAAAGAATTATTGTTATAATTCTCTGTTCGTACTAAGTCCACACTACAAAATTACGATCTCTCTTGCGTAATTTCATGTCTTTTAACTCTTGTCATGTTTTGAATCGTTATGAATTTTGAACTATTGTGGGAAAGCTCAAGAATGCTGACCTGCTGTTCTCACTTCAGAATGCTAATTGTAACGTTCCCTTCCTCGCAGACATGGCGCTTACAACGGATGAATACTTAGAAAAGATAGGTAGCTTTGGTCGCTATCAAATTCTTCTCCTCGTATTCTTAAATGGCCTGATTTTCTTCTGGTTTGGTTGGCCAGTGATGATTCCGGTCTTCATAACCGCTGAGCCACCATGGAGGTGTGTGGCCAATAGCAGCGTTTGTCAACTAAACGGCACCATGAATTCGAGACATCCCGACTATAAATTCAGATGTAATATTTCTCGTGATCAGTGGGAGTTTGTGGATGATTTTACTTCAGTCGTGACAGAGGTAACATTAGTGAAAATTAAAAATGAGGTACTTCTATGTCTTGATGCGAGGAGGTCCTGATATTATTAGCGCTTCGGCACGGACAATTCTTTGCCAGCGGGAAAAAATGGAGCAAAGCAAGCAGGCGAGAGTTCTGGTCCTGATAGTGCCGAATCCCCGGTAAACTCTTCGCAACACATCTCCTGGACGTACGTTATTCCACGGGCGGAATAACGTACGTCCGGCACTTCTTACAGGCTACGTCTTGATGCCGTTGTTAGAAAGGACGGCTTGTCCTCAGGTGTCGAGGGGAGCCTTCTTGATTTCAAGCAAAAATAGTGCTATTCGTCGCTTCTAAGTTTGAAAGGTTCTTGCAAAGTATTAGCAAATCCTGATACTTTTCTTCTCCGGTAAAGTTCGAATTTCTTCTCATGATCATACTTCTGACCTCCTGAGAAGCTCCCTAAATACTCATTTAGAAGCGCCAATGAGAGCCTGCTGTAGGCTTAGTTAAGAAAAGCTGAAGTTAATTACACGTATTCAGTGAGGGCATATTATTGCCCCAAATGTAACTTGAAGAGGTATTCACGATCCTGGAGAAAAGAAGTAGCAGCCGAGCATATTACACATTTGCAGGAGGCATCGCCATTCAGTGATATCAACTGATGATTTTATTATCAATTGAGTGGCCACCGTAGAGAGTTTTTAGAACTGAAGTTTCGAACGTTGGCCGTTCACCAGGGCGACGAAAAACGTAGGACGAGTGGCTAACGCTAGAAACGGTAGCTTTAAAAGCCTTACTACGTTAGAAATTTTACGTTATTACCAAATAATATTGCAATACCCCCCTCCCCCATGAAGCAGCACAGTTTCTTTAGAGAGTTACTCCATTTATTAAGTAATTTTTAATCTGCTACTTTCATAAAGCTAAGCGATTATGAAAAACAACTTATTTTTTTTAAACAAATGTTTTATTATTACTATTATTATCAATATGTTTTGTTATTATTACACTGGACCTTATTACTACCTGACTTATTTGCCTCTGTAGTTTGATCTGGTTTGCGAGCGTGGTTTGTACGGTACCATAGGATCGTCCATGATTTTTGTTGGCTTCTTTTTCGGCGGCATCGTCGTTGGTCCTTTCAGTGACAAGTTTGGCAGGAAGATCACCATGTACTTATCTGGCCTCATCCTGTCAGTCATGAGTCTGCTGGCCGCTTTTCCAGAGGCTTTCTGGATTTTTGCACTCCTAAGATGTTTGATTGGATTCGGGATAGGTGAGTGAATTTTCTGTAAGGAAGAAAGGGTTTCTAGTCAGTTACCTGCTTGTGATGCAAAGTTCTAGAAACATTTTTAGACTTTTTACGCCATTCGATTTAGCATAGCACCTGTAGTTTGAATTCGTACTGAGAGCATATGACATAGGATGAAACAGGATTAGGTCAAGTACTGCCCAAAACTGCATTTTAGAAACTGCTTCGGCATTTTTGGAAGTTTTCGAAAAGGAAATGAAAACAGAGTTTGCCTCAGAAGCCATTAATACACTGATCATTGTGGCCACCAAAAACTAAGTATGACACTATGACACATGCCACCCTTCGAGATTCAAAGAGCTAGATTCCAAAGAGCTACCACACCTTTCGAAAATTGCTTTTAAAGGTGCCGTGAAGGTGATTACGGACCCCGCCATGTTCTACCCAGTAACCTGGCCATAAATCTGTCACTTAACAAAATCGTAAATCGTAAATCTCCTTTTCCACCCTCTAGCAGGCGCACAAAAAAGTATAATGACTTTTCTGTAATAGACAGAGTAAAGGATTTTTATGAGCCGTGTGTTGTGGCTTTGCTTTTTCTGCCAGGTTACGGAGTCGGTGTCCAAAGTTTGTGTCCCTTTTTCAAGGTATACAGACCATTTCCTACAGCTTCTTTGAAGGGTTAAGTATCTATGTTCATTCCATGTATAGCCAAATTTAACTGTTCTTCATTTCTTAATTTTGCATTAGGCGGGTACAGTATCGCCGCTTATGTTCTCCTGACGGAGCTCGTTGGAATTCGTCATCGCAGCACGGCAGGCTGCTCTATTTGGTACTCTTTCAATCTCTCCAATATGGCTCTGGCCGGGCTGGCATATCTTGTGAGGGACTGGAGAAAGCTGTCAATCATAATGGCGGCTCCAGCGATTCCCTTCGTGCTGGGGTGGTTGTAAGTTGATTTTATTAATTTTTTTTATAAGCACGCTCTACCCATTAAATAGCAACACTTCCCTTATCATGACTTATGACAATAAAAAGCAGCAAAATTTTTTTCCTTCCCACTGCTAACATCTTGAACGAAATGAAATTCAAAATATAATCGTCAACTCATTAATTTTCACAGTTTTACTCCAGAGTCAGTAAGATGGTTTCTTGTAAAGGGAAAAACTGAAAAAGCAGAACAAGTCCTCTACAAGGTTGCAAAATTCAACAAGAAACCAATACCTCAAGAACCTCTGCAGGACTGTGAGAAACAGCGACTGGGAGACTTACGAGACTTGTTCAAGACGCGTGCTATGACGCATAAAACACTCATATCCTGGTATTGCTGGTAAATATATCTTTTTTATCCCTTTCGATATGTAGCTCTAACATCTGCTTTTTCCTCAGGAGATACCAAATTTGGAAAAGACACTCCAATTTTGTGGTTTCCTTTCAATCTGCTCATCAAACAACTCGGCGCAACCCCACTCGATATCCATTTAGTGTACTTTTTAGGTTAAAAATTCATCTATTGCTGACCTGTATTCCTGTTAATAAATGATTTCTTTTTAGTATAAAATGTAGAACACTGATACAATAGATACACAGATTAAAAGTGATCAATGAAAATATTTGGGTTTTTTCTGTGGACAGGGGGAGTGCCACTACTTCTCCACGTCAAAAATCTCCATGCGGATTGAGAGAACTCCAAGGAATAGCCTTCTGCTTTTGGCCCATCGGCAGTCTAATTACTCCCCTCCCTCC